AGTCTCCCTATCTCTCATCCAGGGCACCCAGGTTCAACTCCCACCTGCTTCAGAGATGTATAACAACATGTCTGAACAAGTTGATTAGAAAATATCTACCCTAGCAAGTGGAAGGCAATCAATGGAAACAGCATGCACATTTTTACAGGTTATTCCAACAAATGGTGACAAATACATGTAAAGGCAAAATGGAAATAAATAAATTAAACTCAAATATTAACATTTTAGGAACAGAAAGAGACAAAGCCACCAAAATCTCAATCCTTACCCCTCCTTGCACCACCCCACTTGCTTCACAAATGTCATGTCTTCAAAGCTCCCAATCCTTCCTCTCCCTAACATCACATTTTGTTGTTTCGTTCACTGCCATGGTTTTGCCTGGAGATATATTCTTTAAAGTTATCACTAGTTGTTGAAGTTCCATCTGACTTACCCTTGTCAAACAATTATCCTAAATTTTAGCATGAACAGAATATTCTGTAAACATATTTATTTGGATATCATGGGGGTCACCTTGAGCTCCAAAGGGGGAAAAAATGATTTTAAGAACAAAAGGAAGTTGCATGGACTAACTTTCAATCCTCACCTCTGGATCTTACAATGATACAGAATTGTCATTTGCATTTCTGGTTTCACTATATTCATTCAGTAGGCCACTAATAGCTTGAATTCAAAACAAAAATGTGGAATTTTCCCAATTACAGTTATAAATTTGCTGAATGAAATTCATGATACACTAATAACAACATTCTGACAATAATGACTTGTACTGCTTAATATAATCCCAAGTCATATGAGTATAGTCAATCATTTCCTCAGGAATGCACAACACTTCACACATCATGCAATCACATTTTTATATGTAAATAGATAAAGTTAACTCAAAGCTTTTTATTCATTATGGAAATCTTTAAATCACAGGAACCAATGAGATTTATTCATATGATGTGGGTTTTGCTGGCAAGGACACCACTTAGTTTCCATCCTTAATTGTCCTTGAACTGAGTGTCTTCTTAGGCCATTTCAGAGGACAGTTAAGAGTCAACCACCTTCTTTTGGATCTGGAATCACATGTAGGCAAGACCAGGTAAAGACAGCCCATTTTCTTACCTAAAAGACTTCAGTGAACAACATGGGATTCACGACAATCACTGATAGCTTCATAGTCACCATTACTGACATCAGCTCTGTATCCCAGATTTTAAAACTCTATTTTAATTCTACCAGGGTAGGGTTTGAACACAGCTCCCACAGCATTTCACTGACCCACTGGATTACAGTCTAGTCACATCACCACCATCGCCCCATTTACTACAGCAGGATATTTTTCACATGTTACATTACAACAATGTAACCAACAGCAAAGTGGAACAATCACAACTGCTGATCTTACTGCTCATGTCTAATGATTTTAAGTCCAAAATGCAATCAGTTATTACATTTGTAGAAATCCTATCATGCACTGCATTGCATTTATCCCACAAATAGGTCCATGGTTGATACGTCATTTTGTCCATAGAATGAAAGTGATACATAGAGTAGTTTTCATGTACCTGAGGAAGATCAATAATGGGGTAACTATTACATCATTCATTATTTTTCCACTCAGTCTTGTGGAATGCTCCACTTGCTGGAAAGTGGGCTGCTTTCAGGTAGGTAAAGCTAAGTAAACAGGGATATACCAAATAATAATGAATGATTTTGAACCAAACTTGGACTTTCAGTATTTCACTCTTGTAAAGATATCATCAATGTTTGTTAGAGACATTTAATACACATTTTTTTTTTAACTTACTTAAATGTAATTCACTTTTAACAGGTTGTTCCTAAAAAATTAAGGAAATGATTATGGAAACTCAAAATATAAATGCCCAATTTGCCTCACCAAATTTGAATACAACATTGTAAGTTGGAGCTGGAGTAGCTCATTTGACCCTTTGAGTTTGTTCTGCCATTTAACAAGTTCGTGGTTGATCTTCTACCTCAACTCCATTTTCCTGGCCTACGCCTGTAACCCCTTAATGGTTTTAATACTCAGTGTTCTATCCAGCTTGAATATACTTAAGACCTAAGTATAGAGAGTTCTAAAGATCCACAACACATTTGATGAAAATATTTCTCTTCACCTTAGTCTTACCCTTTATTTAACAACTGAGTCTGTCTTCTAGATTGTTTTGCCAGGAAAACATTTTCTCAACCTCCAGTTTGTAAAGCACCTTCGTATGTTTATATTTGGTCACCTCTCAATCTCTCCTCATACATTCTGTAGAGTTCAGACAAATAAGCAGATGGACCCAAAGACAATCCTCTCATCCCAGGAATGTGTCAACTGAATGCTCATTACGATTGCCCTAAGAAGAATGCATTCTTCCTTAAGAGAGGAGACCAAAGCAGCACTTCAAGTGTGATCTCACAATTGTAACAAGAGTTGTTTACTCTTATAGTACAATCCCTTTGTCACAAGAACCAACATATCATTGCCCTCCTAATTGCTTGTTGTGTCTCCACATTCTCTTTCTATGATTCAAGTACAAGGACACCCTAAGGTGACTGATTCAAGTCCTGCCATTAAATATGTATATTTTATCGAATGCAATGGCTATTCTGAAGTTCTGCTGGACGTTCTCCTACCTTCCTTCCTCCATGAACCTTAAGCTCATCCAAATCATTATGATCCATCCTCTAATTCGCACCAAGTCACATTCACATTTCACTGTTGCGCTCGCTGGTCTACATTGCTACACTGGGAACAAATGCTTTGAATTTTAATTTTCATTTCTGTATTCCAAAGTCTACCTTCTTCCTCTTATCTCTGTAATCTCCTCCCAATCCGCAAGCATCTGAATGAACCATCTTCCTCCAATTCGGCCTTTTGTGCATCCCTAATTGTTTTCACTGCATTATGGGCAGGAGCCACATTTTTCAGCTTTCTAGGCCCGAAGCTAGGAAATTCCTTCCATGAACCTCTCCAACTGTCTATGTCTCTTTTCTCCTTTAAGAAACTCCCTAAAACCAACTCTTTGATCAAGTTTAAGTCATATCTTTCCTCATATCTGCCAAAGTGAATTGGTGTCAAATTTCCTTAGAAACACTCCTGCTCCCTGGGAGAATTTATGACATTAAACAATACATAAATGCAAGTTGACACAAAATGTTTACTCAATTTCTTTCTCCACAGACACTGCCACACCCCTGCTGTGTAACTCTGGCACTTTTATTTTTATTTTGATCTTTTAGCATCTGCAGAACTTTGCTTTTACATAAATTGAAGGTGTTGATGTTATTTATAATAATGGAAAAACATGAAAATAACAGTATTTGTGATGTTTCACAGCAAATTTGGTGACTGGCAGTACTTTTGCCAATCACTAAGCATAGTTCTTTATGCCATTGATTGAAAATATACTTTACTGGCATCGTGGACACAAAGATTTCTGCTATCAAGTCAGCTGATTATTGGTTTGAATACAATACCACTCATGATACTGTTGCATCTAGTGACAGAATTGCATGTAGGCAACCAGGAAAAAAAAATTGCATTAGTATCGACTGCCAATTCCATTGCATAAAGCCATCAACACAAATATATGGCAATTTTTCTTTTATTAATCGTACCTAAAGCATCTAGCCAGTCACTGACAAAGATCGAAAATGACCGATTGAGTGAATTCTTTGTTTACCGATATGAAGGAGGTCAATGCTTAGAATTAGAATTCCATCCAATTGCTTCATGCCATATCATTTCAGGGTCAGGTAAAGTACAACTGGCAGCAAAATATAACTCCTGCTGCTCTACATGAGTAGTGTGTCTGAGCTTTAAGCTCAGAAGATCATTGAGAACTTTTTTCAACTCCGTCGTAAGCCTTCTGCATGTCAGTGCTAGTTTGAAATTATTCAGGCATGTTCAGAGATAGTAGGCATGTTCAATTCATATTGGGTCGAGTTGCTGGGTTTCTACCCACAATGCAGAGGTGAACTATATGCGTGAGAACCAATGTGTTACTCAGATTCCTACCAATGAACAGAAAACTAAAAATCTTGCCCCCTCTGGCATTTGAAAAGACAAAATACAGTATATGATTTTAGTAAAGTATAGTATAGGAGTTCAAATGTCATGCTGCGGCTGTACAGGACATTGGTTAGACCACTTTTGGAACACTGCATTCCATTCTGGTCTTCCTGCTACAGGAAAGATGTTGTTAAACTTGAAAGGGTTCAGAAACAATTTACAAGAATATTACCAGGGTTGGAGTGTTTCACCTATAGGGAGAGGCTGAATAGGCTGGAGCTATTTTCCCTGGAACCTTGGAGGCTGAGGGGTGGCCTTATAGAGGCTTATAAAATCATGAGAAGCATGAATAGGGTGAACAGCCAAGGTCTTCTTCCAAGGGTGGGGGAGTCCAAAACTGGAGGGCATAGGTTTATGGTGAGAGGGGAAAGATTTAAACGTGACCTAACGGGCAATTCTTTAATGCAGAGAGTGGTACATGTATGGAATGAGCTGCCAGAGGAAGTCATGGAGGCTGGTACAATTGCAATAATTAAAAAGGTATCTGGATGGGTACTCCATTAGGAAGGATTTAGAGGGATATGGGTCAAATGCTGGCAAATGGGACTAGATTAATTTAGGATATCTGGTTACATTGGCTAGTTGGACTGAAAGGTCTGTTTCCATGCTGTACAACTCTATGCCTCTATGACATTCTTTAAAATTTTAACTCGAATCACTATCTTCTTCTCAAGTCTGCAATATGTTTCTACCATGTTCCAGTTTAGAGATTTGTAGCAGACATAGTTATTTTCATATCAGTTGATAAATCCTTTCAGTGCATTTTAAGTAGAACAGAAGCCCTTTCAAAATTAAAATTACTTTGCAATTAACTATTACAATAATTGACCATCAAAACTATTGGAAAAATAATTGCACTCTTTAATAAAAGTAAATATTTTCACTGTTCTGGTGCATTTGTTGCTACCCGATATGTTAAAACCAAGCAAACAAACATGTATTTGCCAAGTGGGAAACAGAGATCATGCAGAATAACTAGCAAGTGTTGCATTAAAAGATTTCAGTGTTGTGTATTTTGTTACCTGCATTCTCATCAGATTGATTGAATCCACAGATCTGGCAAATGGATCGGACCCACTTGTTCATTTCTTCCTCAGTTTCTGCCACCAGATAAAAGGTACGGTCAATTGTCTTGATGTCAAATACAAAGCTGTCTTGAAACTCTTTCTTTTTGAATGTTAGTCCTGCATCGACCTGCTCACAGAAATGAAGATCTATCACACGGATTGGTTTTTTAGAATGATCATTTTTGTAGTACTCCAAGACATCAGGGTCTCCACTCATCCGTCCACTACGTAGAATGAACCAACGCTTCTTCCAGGTCTAAGAAATGAATTAGATACAGGAACCATTAAGGAAGTGTACATTACAATATGGTTTCTATTCCCTCTATCATCAGCTTTTTTAATTCAGTTAGTTTATCATTTTCAAAACATTGAGTTGTTTCCAGCTGTTCTTTTTAAAATCATCATAGCCTATATTACAAATTAAATTACAATTGCTTAACTATTGTGCAAATTATAATAGGGAATTCTGATCTATAATGCCACTTTATTTGAAATCAATGGGTTGATTTTCCATTCTACCTACGTGAAGAAGGGCTACAATCTGTAAATAAGGTGCCAAGCAAAGAGGTGACATCTTTCTAGATGAGAACCAAAAATTGAAAGATATAATCTTGTCAGGGTATGGTCTTGTAGCTCAATGACCAGCGAGAAAGTAAGACAAGTGCTGATTTAAAAACTAGACCATGACAACCATGATAAATCACAACGTTTACTCCACAATGGATATAAACTTAAAAATGGACAAAGGCTGGTGGAATTGGCAGACAAATAGCAGATTCAACACAATTTAATGCAGTGAAGTGTGAAGTGATACTTTTTGGTTGGAGGAATGAACAGAAAGATGTGATGGCATGAGACAGGGTACAGTAATATTTATAAGAATAATGAAGAATTTCAGTTTTAAAGATAGATTGAAAAACTGGGAGTGTTTTCCTGAGGGAAAGTTTAAGGATATTTGATAGATACAAGAGGTTTAAATCAAGTGGAGAAAGTAAAACTGTTTCCATTGGAAATGTTCAAAGTTGGAGGATACTGATGATGATGAATGGCAAGTGAACCGAACGTAACAAAAGAAAACCTTAGGTAGAGAATATTTAGGATCTGGGATGCATTGTTGAGAGTGCCACAGAGGTAGAAAGTTCATGGCTTCCACCAGGAAATGGAAAATTAACAAAATAGAAGGGGTTACTGTATGGAAAATAGGACTATCTTTTTGTTCTTGTTGACAGCCAATACTGAAATAGCAGGCTGGATGTCTCCTTTGTGCTGTAAACATTCTGTGATTCTATGAGCATATAAAGAAACTGGATGGACATCATATATGAATAATCTGAGCCTTTAGATTCCATAGGGATTTGACACAATGGGCAAGGGAGTGTGTGTTTTTTTTTAAAGTTACAAAGAACAGATACATAGTACAATAACAAAGTTGAGTAGCCAAAGAACATTTGTGATGATTTTCACTCAATTTTATTTTGGTTTGCTTGTATAAGAGAGAAAAGTAAAGGTAAGAAATGTCTCATTTTGCTGACTAATGTTGTCCAAGTACGAAAACATTCACAAAGTCTTAAAAGCACCTATTATTACTTAAATTTGGTTTAGAGGCATGTAATAATATTAACAAGATTAGAAGCAGTATATCCATTTTTAATTAATCTATTTTAGCACTGTAGAAGTTACAGAACCAAAAGTGGTTTTTCATTCCATCGTAACCTTGCTAGCTTTGTTTTCCTTCAGCAAGTCAAAACAAATATTATTCCTTGTTTTTCGCTGTAGTTCTGTATCTTCTTCAACTTTAAATATTTATCTCCTTTTCCCTTAAAAAACACTGGTTTGTCTCTCAGCCAATTCCTTGTGTCCAGACGTTCCATATATTAATACTTTTCTCTAATCCTTTGCATCAAGAATTTCTGCCAACATCTATCTGCCCTGCCTTGGTGTCAAATTCTTTATTGATGAACATGCACTATTCACTCCCAGTTGTTCAAAGTACACTGGCAAATTTAGCAAGATGATATTATGTGTAACTTTCCATGCATAGCCATCAATATAAAAACTCAATTGTAAAATTTCCTAGATAACAAGGTATAGAGCTGGATTAACACAGCAGGCCAAGCAGCATCTGGCCTGCTGTGTTCATCCAGCTCTACACCCTGTTATCGCAGATTTTCCAGCATCTGCAGTTCCTACAATCTCTGTAAAATTTCCTATTGGCCAAGCAGTGTAATTGTTTAGTAACTGGAATAGGGCTTCTCTAGCATCTCAGATTAAGTGAGATTATCTGAAAATTAGCAGCTCCTTAATTGACTGATCAATGTTCATAGGTCTTAGTTATTTATTGGTTCCATTCAGTTGCTTTGATCATCTTTGTTACACTAGACCTGGGATCAGAATCAATTGAAGGTGCACAGATTTGTTGCGCGCTGCTGTAATTGACTACATTCAGCTAGAATGAATCTAAACTCAAAATAACTGCAGCGACAGCAGCAGAAACCAATCTGAGCCAGCCTTCATTTCACTTAAGGCTATGGCATGTATGAGTGATCAGTGAAGAATTTAAGTGATAATTGTTGTCTGTGCACCAGGTTCCAGGCGCACAATGATGAACGTTCCCTAATGGGTATAATCGGTGGAAATTAAGAGACTACTTTGGACTAATGGACTTTGGGGCACAAGTTTGCAGATACTCGGGTGTAAAGTAGTGATAGGTGCAACTCAAGTCATGTTTTAAATTCCACAACCTTGGACATTATTTCAATCGATGGTATACTCTGTTTTGTAGCTTACTTGTTATGGGAGATACTGTAACATGAGGGAGGAAAGGAAATGGAGATTTTAAAAACCCCATGTTTACTCTGCTTTAATTATACTTCTGTAAATTAGACTGATTAAAATCTCAGGTTCTCATTTGTAGCCTACCTTCACTACCACTACTTCAGAGCAGATTGAGATAGAAATGAACCATCTGCTGCACAGTAATCTATAGACATTATCTAGATCAGAGATAGTATGTTCTTGTAGAAGAGGCTCACTACAGCATGAGGTTTGTCGGATGTTTCAATCCCAGGAGATAAAGTACATCAAAAAGTCGGTCTTTATCAGCTACATGACACAAAGTTATGCTTGCAACAGGCAACACCTTCATGCTTTGAGTTGTGGAAATACCACTTTTTACAGGGTGCCCTCCTAAGCTGCATGGCTGTCCAAAGATTCCTGCATAGGCTGGACAAAAGTCATCCCCTTTATGTATCTGTGCAAAAAGTATTAAAGGAGCTCCTCACTTAAAGTGCCCATGCAATCCAAAGAGAATTTAAGTAAAGAGATAACAAAGTGCAGAGCTGGATGAACACAGCGGACCAAGCAGCATCAGAGGAGCAGGAAAGCTGACGTTTCGGGTCTACACCTTGTTATCTCAGATTCTCCAGCATCGGCAGTTCCTACTATCTCTGAGAATTTAAGTAAGTTGGCTACTCAATTCAACCAGTTAAACACAGCCCTGCTGTGGACTTTTCTGAAGAACTCCTGGTAGCCATCAGGAACAGAAAAGGTATACATTGAATTATTATTCAAGTGGTATCTAACAACAAACATAGCTTAATAACCACCATGTATTTTCTGAGTGACACTCCATATTTAGGTCACATTATTTGAAGGTGAAGGAACATTCCGTGGATGTATTTTAGTAGAACATTGCTAACTTCTTTATTCATGGCTGCTGACCTAACTGTAAAGTCCCCTACATTGGAAGAGTAGTAGGCCTTAGACATTACCACATCCATCTTCTAGAAAGGTATGTCAGGCGAGGGGACAGTTGACAGTTAATACACTTTTAGTTGTGAAGCGCTTTGGGATGTTCTGAGCTTGTGAATATGAAGCCAAATCTTTTTAAAGGGATAATGACTGTGTACAATACTTCGAATAGTACCATCACAGACTGCAGCAGCTCTCAGTTTAGTTTCATTCTAATGTTAATGAGCTGGACAAGAAACATGTGTAAAAGTTACAAAATAACTCCACAGAGGCCGGTATCCCATTACCAAATCACCCTTTATTTACATGCACACAGTACATGGACTCTGACCAACTAGCTCAGAGCCAGACCATAAAGTAAGGAGAATCCTCGTGACTTCTGTTTATATCTGTCAGCCATGACTCCCTGATTGGGGCTGTTAAACTGGGCCAATCAGGGAACATGTACTCAATGAGATCCACCTGGCCAACCTCATTCCAATTAATACATCCCTCTCCCCCTGCCCAAGTCCAGGGATGAAGGCCTGACCTCTTTCTTGTAGCTTCTCCTGGGATGTTTTTGCCCCAGGTCTGGTTCCTCTGACTCTGACACTGACATGGGCAGTGTGTAGTGGACCATAGCCCGTCTCTTGCTCCCCGACCGTCTCAGGAGAAATTTCTCCTGTTCTTTGGGTGGTAATGGTATTGAGGCTGCAACATCGGCTGCATCCATCTTGGACTCTGAGGTTTCTTTGACACTGACAGAGGGAGGACCCATGGTTTCTGACAGCTTTTCTGGCTGTTCCAAGGGACAAGGTATGTCTTGCTCCTGCCCTGTTTGCAAGGTAGCAGATTTCACAATATGCACGTTAGTTCAGGACTGCATCACCTATCTGAGCTTTGTATGTCACGGGACTTAACCTCGTGTCAACCTCCCCTCGTACCCAGGCAGGGCCATTTCTGTGGTTTCGACACTAAACTTCATCCCCTGAAGTAAATGGTCTCTCTCGCTTAGAGGGGACACGTGGCTGGCACTGGCGTTCCTGAAGCCATTTCACCCTTCCCCCACAAGTCCGTGAATATCAGGTTTAAGCTGGTGTGGAGTCTTCTCCCCATCAGCAACTCTGCTGGAGCTATCCCACTCTCGTCACCACTGAAATAACTCCACTGAGGCTGGATATCCTATCACCAAGTCACCCTTTAATTACACACACACGGTACATGGACTCTGACCAGCTAGCTCAGAGCCCGTCCCTAGAGTGAGGAGAATCCCTGTGTTTCCTGTTTCTGACAGTCAGGGCTCCCTGATTGGCCCAGGTTAACAACCCCAATCAAGGATCTCATAATCAGTGAGATCCACCTGTCTAACCTCATTACAATCATTACAAGTTATAAGTACATTTACCAACACCTTATTCTGATAGTGGGAAACTTTCCCCTCATTTGTATTGTGTTATGAGGGACCTGAGTGACTGCATTGACTTAAATCAGCAATCTCCCTCCAAAATAGCTGACACCAATGCTTTTCTTGAAGAGTGACCTTCAGCTCTAAAAGTAACATCCTTGTTTGGTGCACTTCTTACAGCAATACTCCAATCCATCAGCATTAAAAAGCACATGTGGTGTAATGGTAGTGTCACTGCACTAATAATACTGAGGCCGAGGTTACTGTTCTGGGGACATGCATTCAAATCCCACTGTAGCAGCTGCTAATATTCAGTCAATAAGTCTAGATATAAATCAACTTTTAGCAATGACAGTTATCATCATATTTTTGTGACATGAAATTGAAAGTATTTAATTAATCAAACATGATGTATTTGAGTCTGTAGCTTCTCTATTAGTTTTCTCTTATGCTTTGGAAAAATCCCCATTGCCCACATATAAATTTCATGGGATTTCAAGAGTTCTAAATTCAAATGTAAATCTTTAAAAGCTAAGGGATTTCACACGGCTCGTGAACAGTTGGGAAGATTACTTCCCCCTGTTAATGTCATTTACTTGTGAAAGTGTGAAATATTTGTGAAAAGATGTGCACACACAAAATAACAAAACAGGTGACAGTACAAATATAGTTCCATAAAAGCATTTTTGTTCAGAACTGCCCACTGTATGTAACAAGTCTGTTCAAAAGTACTTTATCATGACAGGCATAAAGAATACTAAGATTTTTCCACTTTATAGATGGATACATTCCTGAAATTAATACATTCCTACATTAAATACTATATAACTAGATGCAATTATTATAAATGGTCCCTTTCAATTATGCCAGCAAATTATTTCAGTTCCAATACATCTTATGTGGTTGCTCATGTGAAGGGGCAATGCTGACATCGACTGGTTGAGCCACATAGTCTGTTGCATTGTAACTTCTGCATATTTCATTCACTACTATGGTATTATTATGACAGATTAGAGATAAGTTACAAAACAACTCTGAGTCTTGTTCCAACATTGGTGGGAGTTAGGGAACAATGATAATGACTTGGTGGTGGCACTTTTGCCTGAGTCAGTAACTTGTGGGTTCAAATCCCACCCCAGACATGAACATAAAGTCACAGCTGACATACTGAGGGAACGTCAGAGGTATTGTCTCTTGCTTGAGATGTTAACTCGAGTTCCTATTTGCCTAATTGGGTTATTATAAAGTATCTCATGACACGATATTGAAGATGACCAGGGGGATTCTTCTTTGTTCCTGACCAAAGTTTATTTCTCAATCAACATCACAGAATATTTTAATATAAATAAAAGAAAGAACTGAGGATAGTGGAGATCTGGAGCAAACAAAAACAGAAATTGCTGGAGCAATTCAGAAGGTCTCGCAGAATCTGTGGGGAGAACACAGAGTTAATATCGAGTCCTTTGACCCTTCTTCAGAACTAGAAGCAACTAGGAAAAGGTGGTATTTAAACTGATGACAGGGGTGGGGTGGGGGAAAGGACTGAGCAGATAGCTGGAGAGGGAGCTACATAAAGAGACAGAAAAAATGATAGGCAGACAAAGGAAATGGGCCAGGGAAGAAGAAAAACTAGATAGGTGATAGTGGTGACTATGAGTAATTGAAAATGGGTTGGTTATACCGAAAGCAACCCATTTCATGACAGGAACTGGGATTGTGGGTATAGGTAAATCGACAAGGAAAGCGGTGTCCACATTCTGAAGTTGTTAAACTTGATATTGGGTCCTGAAGGCTGTGAGGTGCCAAAGCAGAAGATAAGGTGTGGTTCCTCCAGCTTGCACCGAGTCCAAAATGTTGGTATGCAGACCACACACAAGTTGCATTGAGACTGCCATATAGAAACACAGAACCATAGAAATGATATAGCACAAAAGGGCGCCATTTGGCCCAACTTGCCCTTGGTGACCCAAAGATGCCTTCTCTAATCTCATCTTCCTGCACATGGCCCATAGCCCTGCACCTTACAGCACCTAAGGTGCAGAAGCAGGTACTTTTTAAAAATGAGTTCAGAGTCTTTGCCTCCACCACCAATTCACCCAGCAAATTCCAGGCTCCCACCACCCTGTGTAAAAATGTTTTTTCTCACTCCCCTTCTAATGGTTCTGCCACTTGGCTTGAATCTACGACCCCTGGTTTTTGAACTCGCTGCCAAGGGAAACAGGTTCCTCCTGTTTACGCTGTCTCTACCCCTCACAATTTTGTACACCTCAGTTATGTCACCCCTCAGCCTTCTCTGTTGCAAGGAAAACAATCCCAAACTCTCCAGTCTCTCCTTGTTGCAACAGTTCTCCTACCCTGGCAACTTTCTAGTAAATCTTCTCTGCATTCTCTCTGGAGCAATTATGTCCTTCCTGTAATGTGGTGACTAGAACTGCACACAGTACTCCAGTTGCGGCCTCACTAGTGTCTTGCTAGTTTCATCATTATATCCCTGCTTTTGTATTTTATACTCTGCCACTGAAGGAGAGCATACCATAACATAGTGACGTCATGACTAGAAAAAGATTTCATTCAGTTAATGCTCAAGTCATCGATGATCATCATTACCACGTCTTCGAAGTCTGCATCCAATATCCCATGATGCCTATGTCCTTGAGAATTTTCAGGCTCCTGCTGCATTCCTTACAAGGATGACTGCTGGGATACCAGGGCAACCCCCTCAACCTTGGCTGGTGACTCCATTAGGCAAACTCCCTGTATGAAACCAAGTATATATATAATACAGCCTCATCTTAAATCAGGGCTATCATGGAGCAATCGACAGGCCTCCTGAAGGTCAGGTTTATGCTTGGATTTTTGTGGCAAAGACTGGATGAGACAGATGCTGAAGAACTGGAATAGCAACAGCAGTCTTCCAAACAGAATAATGAGGACATGGAGCAGGACACATATTAACTTCTGCGTGGGAAAATATTGCAGCAACAGGCACAACAAGTTAATCTGGACTTAATGGACATGCACTTCCAATAGATGCGAGTTTGGGTGAAGACACCATTCATTGGCTGTACACTTGTTGTTGCTCGAAAGGCACGCAATCCTTCTTTAGTCCCAGCACGAAATGCAGCTTATTTGTTTGCTGTTCTCCACTGTTGTTTAATATAAGTTGACTTTGACAACTATTTGAAGGCTTCACAACGTCTGATACTTCCACATTTAACAATGACATGTTTTGATATGTTTGTACTTAGGGAAAATGTAACACTTCTGACAGGATTTTAACATTGTATGGCACCAAGAAACAGTAGTTTCTGTACTTTTGTTCTTGTAGCTGTAATGATGCCAGTTGATCAGACAGACACTGGTTTAAAGTGCTAATATATTTAAAAATGTGATCGCCTTTGTTAACAAAGTGTCACCCATGTCACCTATATGCCCTCATCTTTCCTTGCCTCCCACTACATCGAGGTGTGTCCTGACCTCTGTAGCTGGGGTAGGGGGTGTTGCCCTATGGTGGAGCCTGTTGGAAATTTGGCGATCACCTGAGGGACGTTTGTGGCTAGAGGGTCAAACGTGCTCAGCGTGCCGTGTCCAAATGCAGGCTCACATTCCTCAGCATAAACTTAAAAACAGAGTTGGAGGTCTTAGAATGAAGGTGGAAGGTCCAGGTACCGCTGAGAGGAGACTTTTGGGGGGGGGTGGGGGGAGGGGGAGGGGTGCGGTGGGAGGATGTGGTTTCTCCTCAGTCAGGATGCTTGCTGCTATTGCCCTGTCTCCTTGCGAAGAAGGGAACTTGGTGTGAGGTTGTAAATCTTGTCCCCCTGCTACCTTGCTGCTGATGCTGAGCACCAATAGCTAAAACGATGGGGCGCAGATCTGTGTGGGCCTCCAGCACCCACCGAAACATTCTGTTGGACCTGCTCTCCAAGGGAGCAGCCAAGCTTCCCAAATGGATACACACATGCCAGAACCAGCTCATTTCTATTAACATTGATGGACTTTGCCATCCTATGAAACGGTTTCCCAAATGTCTCCAACAAACCTGCCTGCTGCTTCTGTGTCTGTTTGCGTATTTTCACAGAGTTATTAATGGCTAACCACATGGGGTGCTCTCCTTCCTGGGGCCGATCAACAGCAGCCTTTTGAGTTCCAGTGATTGGGGGGGATCTCTTCCTCAGCTAGTTGCTGAGTTGTGCCACTGATGTGCTCACCAGATTGTGCTCCTGGCTCTTGCTAAAATCTCCATTGAGGTATCAGGATCTGAGCTTGTGCAGGGTGCAGATGAAGGTCTTGCTGGTGCTTCCCCTGAGTGATCTGTGCCTTCATCCTCTTGAGGTTGAGGAAGGGCTGGCCTCCTGTGTGTGTGGAGGGTGTTTGGACGCCACTGGTGTGAGCGCAAGACAAGAGAGAGATCATTGAACATTAGGGGCTGAAGGTTGAGTAGTTTAAGAAAGTTAAGTATGTTCAGCAGCACAGCACTTGACAATGAGTTTTATTTTGTTGTTAGGACACGGAGATCTCAACATTCTTATGAGTGGTCAGGGTCCTTTCCTGCAAGTTTGAGGAGCTTTTCTTTGTAGGAGAGGAGGATAAAAACATTGGTTTGGCCCTGACTGCTCTATTGCGGCCTGCTTTCTCCCTGCAGTGAGATAAGGGAGGGATTGAGTGAAATGAAAGTGGCTGTAAGCACTGTTATTGTTGGTGGAGGTGCAGGACAAGTGGGAGGTCTCCTGAGCAAGTGAGTAGGCAGTACAGAGGACAGCAAGGTTTCATAATCTGGGGAGATGGGGTATATTAGGACCATTGAGGGGAGATGTTATATGCAATGGTGCAAGTGGTAGACCATAAGCCTTGGTGGGAGATGGGTGCAGTAGTGGGGGACGAGAGAGAGTGTGCGAGCTAGAGAGTGAGAGGCAATGATGCTACTTACCCTTTTGGAACACACAGGGTTAATAACCTTCCTGTGGCATGGCTGGGTGTCCCTTTGCATTGTGGATTCTGCACTGAACCAGCTCGCTACTTTGGACCAAGCTGCGGTTTTTGGTGTCATGACTGCCTCTACTGGTCTGAGGAAACAGGACAGCCATCTTCTCCACCACTCTATCCACCTGGACGTCCAGATCCCTGTTGGTGAAGTGGGTGTCAAAATACCTCGCTCAGACCTGGCCTTTCCAAATTTACAGCAACAACTAAGGACAGTTCGTGCCTTTCAGCATTTGAAATGGTGTGGAGCTGGGCTGATGGTGGCCAGCTTTAAAGCTGGAAGGTCCTCGCACTGCCCAATCACCTCCATCTCTGCTGAGCTCAGGATTGTAGCACCGTGAAGGTGGGATGCATAATTAGTGTGGCAAACAATAGAGAATTGCAATGAGAAGTTGATAGCGCTCACAGTTGGAAACCCTCCATTAAACTCCCTGATAACAACACTCAGCCAAAATGTGGGAAGATTCAGTTTGTTGTTTCTCTGCCTTGGGAGATTTTAAGTATACAAACAGGAGCAAACATTACTTGATGTTTTTCCAACCTCTTCATCTGTCTATATGAGTGTGAGACCACCTACAGTGAATGATGATGAGGCAGACCAGCCCAAACAAATGATTCTTCTGTTTATACAAGAACGGCCAACACCAATCCTAGTCTGAGACTTTCAGTTGTAGATAGCGTATGAAAGTGTGTTTATTTTCTCATTTTGAACGTGCACTGCTGGCAGCTGAGGTCCAGTGGACAACCAAAAATAGCAAAATATGTGCTGCGGTCAGGTTCCAATTATTGCTTGTTGATTAATAGCACACAGCATCTACCTGAACTGGCATTGCTTCTGACAGTGGCTCTCTGTCATTAGGTTGTACCAGGAATTTATCCAATTTGCCCATTTGTCTCAAAACAGAAATACGGTTAAAGTTACCAAGCAACAGTTAAAATTTCTCTTAAACAGAGGCATAGCCAATTGTCATTTGCCACCACCCTGTTGAACTTGGAATCATATTGAAAAACAGCTCTTTTAAGTAAAAAAAAACCCACTGATTTCCATAACTGTTGACTGCATTTCCTCAATGTTTTCTTTTTGTAAAGACTGTATTCCATTCTCACAGTTTGTCTCTGCTGCATTTGATTGGACAATGCAACTTTCTATAATAACTGTTCTATTTTCCTATTTCCTCAATAGAGGACATTCCCATCAAGATTAACAGGGTATTTGACTATGTACATTCTATTTCTTGCCCTTCTGCTTTCACCAATTCCCCTCCCTCCCAGAACCATGATAGAGTATCCATTGTTGTCATTTTCCACCCCACAAGACTCTGCACTCAGTTAATCACCATTCTCCATTTCTGCCAGATCAGGTGTGAAGCCACCACAAAAAGAAATCTTCTCCTCTGCTTCCAGCATTCCAAAGGAACTATTCCCTTCCTTACAGCCTGTTCCATTCCTCAGTAATCTCTAATACCCCTCCCTCTCTATTCTATTGCACTGTTACATGCAAGAGCAGGAGAGGCATTGCCTGCCCTTTTATCTCTTCCCCAAGTACTGTCCAAGGTCTCAAACACATCTTTCAGGCAAAACAATGACAAAGTTCTATATTTTCAATTTAGTATACTGTACATTTGCTGCTCAAAGCATGGTCTCCTGTGTACTGAGGAGACCAAACACATGCTGGTATGGCAAACCCTTCTGTTCAATCTGTAAGCATGACTCTGAACTTCATGTCACTTGTCATTTAAATTCTCCATGATCTACCATCTATCTATCCTTGGCCACTACCTGTGTTCCAATGAAGCTCAATGAAAGACTGGACAGTTTTCAACCTTCTGGACTCACTCTACACAAAGTTCAACATATTTAGTTTGTAGCTTTTTCCCTGTTCAATTTTCTCTCTTTTCTTTGCTGGTTTGATTTCTTCCTCTCATTTCTCACTTTTGTTCATTTGCTTTTTGACAGCAGCCATTCAAGATTTTGCCTTTCTCAGCTCCTCCAGATATCTTTTGCTCCTTTATTTTTAACAATTTTCATTCCCTTTGGCCTTGTATCGTGACATTTATTCTTCCTTACCCTTAACTCTATAATCAACATTCTTATAGATTTTGAGCAAGTGATATAGGGGAAGGTGAAAAATAAAACCAATTATGTATCTAACATTTTCCTGCTCTGATGAAAGCTCACAGACAAATCAGTTTCTCTCTATATAGATGCTGGCCAGATCTGCTGAGTATTATCAGTAACTATTTTCTATTTCTAACCAGTATTTTGGATTTCCAGTGTCCACAGTACTTTGAATTTTCATGAATATTCTGCTATTTCCCCAATATCTCTCAGAGTCAGTCATATAGCACTGAAACGGACTCTTCGGCCCAACTCGTCCATGCCGAACAGGTTTCCTAAACTGAATTAGTCCCATTTCCCTGCGTCTCTTTGTGTCTTCTCCTCCTATCCCACTGGACTGTGGGATTTGCAGGTTCTCTCCCCTGCTGGAGGACAGCAGGAGAGGGAGGGTGGCCTATAGTATAAGAACAGGAAGAGGCATGGAACAAAGCGAAATAAATGATTGTTAGTGCAGTCATGACCTGCAAGTTAGAATTCCCATCTTCCCACATAACTCTTTAATGTCCATACTGATCTATGTCTGAATCTTCATCATCAAGACTTGTTTATTTAACTACCTTGCTTTTATAAAAATTGCCATTTTTTTTTGCAAAGAGAGGGAGGGAACAAGGTAACAATATCAAATTGTTCTAATGTAAAAGGATATGAATGCAAGGCATTGTATCCCCTGCAATTTAGTAGACGTAGTGAAAGAAATCATGTCAAGATTTTCTGGGGTTGTTTGCAACTGATTAGTTTGTGAAAAGATTCATCAGGATTCTTTGTAGCTTTCCAATATATATGTTCAGCCTCTGCTATTGGTAGTGAGAATGATCAGGATTTGGTGAAATAGTATGATAAAGATGGGTGGTAGCTCACATTTTACATCTCTCCTGATTTTTTTTTCCACTGTCTTTCAAATTTGGAGAAAAGCAGAATGGATTCTCATTATCACCCATTTTCCACTATTGCATAAAATCCAAACACACTGGTGTCTGTATGCTGTCGTGGTTAGATATTTAGAGAGGAGTGATGCATTCTTGTCCCCTGGCATTCATGGGAGGTTTTACATTCAAACTTGGAGATCGGATGTCAGAAACCTCCAATGCTCTCCCACTTGGCAACAGCAGCGTTTCCCACAGTTTATACTGAATTTATAAAGTACACCAGGGATTGCGAAAGTTATGCCACCAGGTTCAAATGACTCAAAGTTACAAGTTGTTATGTGGGAAATTATAGTTAGATAAAGTTTCTCCACAGAATATTATCATTATTCTAGTGAATGGATTAAAAAAAAGCAAATCATCAAGTAAATGCAACTTCAAACTTAATGTCAGAATATTTACGTTAATGGAACTTATATTGTGCATAGCAAATGATGGGGAGATATGAAGGGTAAATAAATATTATACTGATCTATTACATGTTTCCTGTAATTGCAACAAATCACAGACATGTACATGAGAAAGGAAAACAGATAATGTGTTGCGGTTCAGAGGTAATTACACCTGTGATTTAACTGTCTGTAATAATGGCAGCCAGTGAGAGTTCTCAAAGGGAACAGAACTTCAATACAACTATTTGCACCTGCACAAATATAGACACAGGAAGTAGTAAATAATTATTTTCCAGCAGCTATGTTTGTGCATACAATCGTTGACATGTAAAGCTGTCACCTGCCAAATCACTAATAGACAGCTAAGATCATGCCTGCTGGCTACAGCAAATTCAATGAAGAATTTGAGAGAAATTTTCATGCCCAGTGAGCGATCAGAATGCGAAACTTGCTACCACAAGAAATAGTTGAGATGAATTGCACAGATGCCTTTAAAATATGTACATGAGGTTGAAAGGAATTGAAGTAAAATGCAGGTAGGGCTGGATGAAGTGTGTGAGTAGACTCATGTGGAGAATAAGCAGCAGCAAGGAATAGTTCAGTCAAATGGCCTGTTTTTCTTTTTAAATGGTCTGCAACCCCTCTGTAATTCTTTTTTAAATCCACTTGTGGAATGTGGGCTTCACTGACTGGTCAGCACTTTTTTGCCTGTTTCTAGTTGCTGTTGAGAAGGTTGTGCTTGGGGGTCATGCATTGAGATGGATTGAAGACAGGATGGCAGACAGGAAACAAGTAGGAGGAATAAGTGGGTCTTTTTCCAAATGGCAGGCCGTGGATCCTGGGCTACCTCAGGGATCAGTGCTAGGACCCCAGCTATTCACAATATATTAATGATTTAGATGATTTAAACGTGATAGCTCCAAATTTGCAGATGACACAAAAGGAGGGCAAGCTGTGAGGAGGATACAGAGATGCTTCAGTGTGATTTGGACAAGCTGAGTAAGTGGGCAAATGCATGGCAGATGCAGCAAAATGTGGATAAATATGAGGTTATCCACCTTTAGAGCAAAATCAGATTATTATCTGAATGGCCATAAATTGAGAGGGGAACTATACAATCAGACTTTTGTGTCTTCGTGCACCAATCACTGAAGGTAAGCATGCAGTTCAGGTTGCAAATGTTATATAAGATAACAAGATTTCTGTAGAAGGGTCCAGGCCCGAAACGTCAGCCTTCCTGCTCTTCTGATGCTGCTTGGCCTGCTGTGTTCATCCAGCTCTAGACCTTGTTATCTCAGATTCTCCAGCATCTGCAATTCCTACTATCTCTGCAAATGTTATGTTGGTTTTCAAAGCGAGATCATTTTAGTACAGGAGCAGGGAAGTCTTGCTGCAACTGTACAGGGCCTTGGTCAAACCACATCTCAAATATTGTCTGCAGTTTTGGTCCCCTTATCTGAGGAAGGGTGTTCTTGCTATAGAGGGACAGCAGCGAAGGTTTACCAGACTGTTTCCTGGCATGGCAGGACTGATGAATGAGGAGAGGTTGAATTAGTTAGGATTATATTCACCAGAGTTCAGAAGTATGATGAGGAATCTCATAGAAACATACAAAA